GGGAGGGTAACAAGCTGGGTCCTGTACAGTGGACATCCATTCTGTTAACCAACTTTAAGGAGAATATTCTATAGTTTTCCAATCTGAATCAGCTGTTCACAAAGCCTGGGATCTCCCTGCACCACCATTGGGTGGCTCATCTGAGCATCATATTCGAAACAGCCATAAAGATTTGCAGCCCCTGGCCCCACTGTACACTTGCTGGGCCATGACACCTTGCTCCTCCCTGTGACAGAGAAACCTCAGCCCCATGCTAATTCCCCTTCCCCTGAAGACCATCAAGTCAAGATACAGGGGTATGGGTCAGGTAGTAGGGGTGCCCAAAGAGGTGTTTGTTCTCAGGCAAACACTGGCTCTAAGTTTCTCTGGCAGAGGGCACTTGACCTCTGTGAGGATCTTGCTTTGTGGCAGCCTTTTTGGTGTGAAAGGTGACTGATGACCCTTTGGGGCCTCCCATAGTTCCATATGTGGCCCAAATTTCTGGGTGCTTGCCTCATTTATTTTATATTTGTGGACCTGCTGTTTTTAATCATCACCTCTACCATGTAATGTGGCTAGGTCACTTTGGGGAACATTTGTAATCCTGTCCATGGTTTATGTAACACTAAGAAAACTGCCTGGTTTGGGGGGGCATCTATCTTCATCCAGGACATTTTAGGCCCTAACGCTTCACAGCCTCCCAGGAGCATAAGACCTCTGGGTGCTGAAAATGTGGAATGCTCCTTAATGGCTCACTGGTTGTTGTCAGGTGAGGCGCTTGCCCTCGGGCTGCCCATCTGTCCCTGATATGGCCAGTCAAGAGCAGCCTTAGCCCTAGGCTTGGGACAGCTCTTCCTGTGGTGTCTGTGGGATTTTATCAGCCTTGGGGATGTCTCTCTGGGTTTGCCATACCGTGGTCATTAAACAGAAATCCAAATAGCAAGTCTGTGGAGTGGATTGTGGGAGATGCCTGCTGTGGCCAACACCTGGGAGAGCATGACCTTTGTCAGTCCTGGGCACCCAGACCACCACTGTTGCCCAGTCTGTTGACCCAAAGGGCTGATTCCTCTCCTCTCTCTCTCTCTGTTGGTCTGTGTCTCAGGACTTTGTGGGGGGTCATTGCCCTCAGGGATGGTCCTGGTTGCGGCTGTCAGGAAAGGGTGCAGTTATGCTCTCTCTGTGTGGACCTGGAGCTCTCCTGGACCCCTAGCCCATAGGGAAGCCAGTGATCATCATGGCACCACTTAGATGTCACTCAGCCTCTAACCATGGACTCCACTCATGTTTATTAACAGATGTTTTAGTTTCTATTTCTTCCACCTCTTCTTTGTTCCTTTTTTCCTTCTTTCTTGTTTTCTTTTGGATTCAATTAATTTTTATTCAATTTCTCTTTTCTATTAGCTGTTGAGTTCTGTATTCATGTATTATTCTTTAGTGGTTATCCTAGAGATTACATTTTATATCCTTGACTATTATAATATAATCAATTAGTAATATCAATTAGTAGTCTCATGACTTCCTGAACAAGGCAAGAAACTTATAGCTGTTTAATTCCATTTGTCCCCCTGTATTTTACTTCCAAAAATGTTAAAAATCTTACAGGACATTAATATAGTGTTTTAAGCAGTTTATTTTCTTTAATACTTTCTCACATATTTACAATTTCCAATGCTCTTTACTCATTCCTGAAGTCCCATGCTTCTGTATGGGGTTCTTTTCCTTCAGCCTGAAGAACTTTCTTTCCTATTTCTTGTGGTATAGGTCTTTTGGAGATAATGTCTCTCATCTGAAAACAACTCTATTTCAGTTGCATTTTGAAGGTTATCTTCGTTAGATGTAAAATTCTAGGTTGGCAGTTTTTGTTTTTTTTTTTTTTTTCTTTCTTTCTGCACTGTAAGATGCCATTCCATGTCTTCGGGCTTCTGTCACTTCTATTTAAAAATCAGCTGTCACTCTTATGGTTGTCCTTTAAAGATAATGTGTTATTTTTCTCCTGTTGCTTTTAAATTTTTCTCTTGATCTTTGGTGTTTGGAAATTTCCCTATGGTACGCCTCTGCATGGTTTTCTATTTATTCATTCTGCTGTGAGTTTGCCGAGCTTCTTGAATCTGTAGATTCATGGTTTTCAACAATTCTGGAAAAATATTATAGCATTTTCTCTTCATATAGCCTTCACTCCATTATTTCTTGCTTCTCTTTCTGAGAGTCCAGAAATAGGTTTTAAACCATGTTTCCTAAGTCTCATGTTCTGTACTCTTTTTATTTTCTGTGTTTATTCTTTCTGTGCTTCAATTAGGATATTTTCCATTTATATATCTTTGTGTTCGTTCTCTAAACGTGTTTTCTGTTGTTAAACCCATCCAATGAGTCATTAATTTTAGGTATTTCAGATACTGCATTTTTCAATATAAGAATGTTCTTCCATTTAACGTTTTAAAATGTATTCTGATTCTTTGCTGAAAAAGCTTATCTTTTCATCCATTTTGCTTATCTTTTTCTTTATTTCATTTAACACATTTATCATAGTTACTTTAAATCTATGTTTGCTTATTCCAATATATGGTTTATCTGTGGAGATGCTTCTGTTGTTAGTTTTCCTCTTGATTACTGATCACATTTTCCTGCCACTTCCTGCATCTAGGACTTTTTGAGAGTATGCCAGATATTTGTATAAAAGGGCTATGGAGGGTCTAGTTGATATGTTTTAATGGGGCACTTGGCCTTTCCTCTCTTATCGCAGTAAGGCAAGAAGCTGAACACTCCAATCCAGTAGAGACTGGGCTGGGTTTGGGCTCATTGCGCTTTTGTGAGTCTTCTAAGTGTGGCTCTTCTGGTATTTGGTTAAGAGCCTGGCTCCTCTCTATCGCCTCAGTGCTTCAAGGTTGTGTGGAACTCTGTTCTTTTCCTCAAATATTTTAAGCTTAGCTCTTTAGTTTTCTGCTCAGTCAGCTTCAAAACTTGGAAAATGTCTTACAGGACATTTGTCTTGTGCCTGAGGCAGAAACCTTTTTGTCTAGAAGGACTTCGTGTGCTAAGTACCATGAGGTTACTGGAGATTTCACTTCGCCTGTAGAAGCCTCAGGTCTAGTTTCATGCCTTTCATAGCCTTGGAAGTTAGCAAATGTCCCAATTTTCTACACCAGCCTTGGTGGCAATGGCAACAGTTTTGTGGGTTTTCTTTCTCCCAGTAGAGTCCCTCCTTCTGGGTCACACCTGATGATCAGCCCACACCCAGAAGTAGCTAATTCCCCAAAGGAAGAAAACATGGTGGTTGATACTCAGTTCATCTTAGAGAGCTTTCCCTCTTGAGACTTGTTTTTCTCTGGTCCTCATTGATTCTACAGTGCCCTCATATTATATATGTATTCCACTTTTTACAAATTGTGGTAAAATACACACAACATACAATTTATTAGCGTCTTTTACTCTATGGGTTTTGAAACTAATTTGGCCTTTTCTAGTTGCTGTAGCAGGATCATCGACCTTCCATGAATATTACATCCCCTTTGGAAGTAGAAACTTTGCTCTCTTGGCTTTTACACATCATCAGCAACCTTCATAGTTGAGGGGTTAGGAGGGTGGGCTTGGAACCAGACTGCATGGTTTTCAATCCTGGCTCTGTAGCTCTCTACGTTGGGACTGTGGACAAGGTGTTACTATCTTGTGGTTTCCCCATGGGGGGAAGGATCAGTTCTCTGCCCCGAACTGGTGCAGATATCAGACTGATGACACCACACATACACCAAGAGCGTAGGAAAGGGTTTATCACTCACGTAATGAGACTCTGGGTGAGCAGGGCAGGCACCCAAGCTGGTTTGGAATGACTTGAGTGAGGAGAGGGAATGTGCTTTGGTTTTTATCATGTTTAGGGGTGGGGCTAGGCCTAGGGTTCCTGCATACGCTGGAGTTTAAATGCTTTGAACTTCCCTGCCGATGGTAATGGGCTTTCTCCTTGGCTGCCTGGCTGGGGTAAAAAGAAGGTGGGGAACCCCTGAAAACTGTCAGTGGTCCAACGTCAAAGACGGTGTTGGGCTCTTTATTCCATGTACTCTCTCTGTGCTTCATTTTACATCCATAGGCCAGGGCTCTGTGAGCATTTGCTGCAGTGGCACATGCAAAGTACTTAGCACAGCACCAGATCCACACAGGAAACAATTAGAGGCGATTTCATTTTGGTCAGATTGCTTCAGGAAAGACAATAGAGCCATGCCCACCTTGGCTGAGCACGGAGCTGTGGGGAGGTATGTGCCAGAACTTACCCAGAGGGCCATCATAATGAGTCCATCTCATATGGCTGCTTTAGCATGCATTTCCTATGAGGAAGGTGCTATATCAGCAACCCATTTTACAGGTGTGGACATAGGTTCTGGGAGGAATAATGATTTGCTCAAGGTTCCTCAGTTAGCTGGCTGTAGGAAACACACCGAGTATTTGCAGATGGGAAGCAGATCAGCGTTTGCCAAAGGCACTCTGGGAGCCTAGGACAGGTGGCCTGTGAGCAGGTCCAGGAACTGAGCATGGATGCAGGTGTTATTCCAGTTCACATCCCCTCCCTCCCACCGGAGAGATGGAAACAGATAAATACATCAACACAGCAATGGGGTTCTGGGGCAATGGCTTTATTAGATGCTTCAAGGACAGATATCTGAGAAATTAGTGACTGCAGAGTGAGCAGAGCTGAGGAAGCCCTGTGTTGCCCTGCTCAGATGTTCTCACCGCAGAAGGTACCAGGCAGGCAGGGCTTGGGATGGGCCATTTTTGCAGGTGGCTGGGGACAGTCTCCAGGTGCTGGGGGGTGGGGATCTTGGAAGTCATTCTTGGATACAAGTGCCCACTATATTCCTTGGCAGGAGATCAAAGAGCAATGGTCATGGTGGGAAAGGGAGGAGGGTGCACCACAGGGTGCTGGGCTGGAGGAGAGTCTGGATCAGGGGTTCAGGGAAAAGGCAGATGATGGCTGTGCTGGAACCCATGACTCCTGATCAGGGATGGCCCTGGCTTTGGTAAGAGTCCCTGTGACAATGGAAAATCAGATCTTGTGCTGGCAGCAAACTGGGACGCAGCAGCTGGACTGGGAGCAGGATGACCCACAGCCTGAAGAACAGCAGCAGGGTTTGCAGCAGCTGGACTGGGAGCAGCCACAGGAGCCACATGAGCCACAGCCCCCCTTGGAGCCCCCACAGGAGCCACAGCCCCCCTTGGAGACCCCACAAGAGCCGCAGCCCCCCTTGGAGACCCCACAGGAGCCACAGCTGGAGCAGGTGCAGGCGGGCACACAGCAGCAGACGGGCACACAGCAGCCGGAGCCACGGCCCCCACAGCCGGAGCCGCAGCCCCCCTTGGAGCCTCCACAGGAGCCACAGCCCCCCTTGGAGCCCCCACAGGAGCCACAGCCCCCCTTGGAGACCCCACAGGAGCCACAGCCCCCCTTGGAGACCCCACAGGAGCCACAGCTGGAGCAGGTGCAGGCTGGCACACAGCAGCAGACGGGCACACAGCAGCCGGAGCCACGGCCCCCACAGCCGGAGCCGCAGCCCCCCTTGGAGCCTCCACAGGAGCCACAGCCCCCCTTGGAGCCCCCACAGGAGCCACAGCCCCCCTTGGAGACCCCACAGGAGCCACAGCCCCCCTTGGAGACCCCACAGGAGCCACAGCTGGAGCAGGTGCAGGCTGGCACACAGCAGCAGACGGGCACACAGCAGCCGGAGCCACGGCCCCCACAGCCGGAGCCGCAGCCCCCCTTGGAGCCTCCACAGGAGCCACAGCCCCCCTTGGAGCCCCCACAGGAGCCACAGCCCCCCTTGGAGACCCCACAGGAGCCACAGCCCCCCTTGGAGACCCCACAGGAGCCACAGCTGGAGCAGGTGCAGGCTGGCACACAGCAGCAGACGGGCACACAGCAGCCAGAGCCATGGCCCCCACAGCCAGAGCCGCAGCCCCCCTTGGAGACCCCACAGGAGCCACAGCCCCCCTTGGAGACCCCACAGGAGCCACAGCCCCCCTTGGAGACCCCAAAGGAGCCACAGCCCCCCTTGGAGACCCCACAGGAGCCACAGCCCCCCTTGGAGACCCCACAGGAGCCACAGCCCCCCTTGGAGACCCCACAGGAGCCACAGCTGGAGCAGGTGCAGGCTGGCACACAGCAGCAGACGGGCACACAGCAGCCGGAGCCACGGCCCCCACAGCCGGAGCCGCAGCCCCCCTTGGAGCCTCCACAGGAGCCACAGCCCCCCTTGGAGACCCCACAGGAGCCACAGCTGGAGCAGGTGCAGGCTGGCACACAGCAGCAGACGGGCACACAGCAGCCGGAGCCACAGCCCCCACAGCCGGAGCCGCAGCCTCCGGAACAGCCACAGCAGCTCATGGTTCTGGTGGGTTGAGGGTGGAGCAGGTCAGAGGAGCAGGTGCAAAGGACAGGTGTTCAGGTGTGGAGCCTCCTGGGCTGGGCCCTTTTTATATGTGTCTAGTGGCCTCACAGGGCACAAGGTGACTTCCTTGTGACTGTTTATACTGTTTTTCCAAGCCCTATTTTCCCTCTTCGCCAGTGCCTTCCTCCTGGCTCAGGTGAGCATCCACTTTCTGTTTCCTAAATTTGTCTTTTCTACCTTTGTTTTGGGCCCTATAATTAGAACCTCAGCTCCAGGATATCTGTGTTTCCCCAGGAGCCCCAGGCATTGGTCACCTGCCCTCTCTGCTGGCCTCAAGTGACCCATTGATGCTCCTGCCCGGGTGCCCTTACCTGTACTGTGCTGACCTCCCCCAATATTCTTCTTACATGTTTAGATTGTAAAAATCATCCATGGTCTTTACTGGAAACAGTAAAAATCTAAAGAAGAAAATAATTCCCATAATCTTGTCATCTTGAGATGACATTTTGGTTGGTTTCTGTAAGTATGAATAAGTGTATTATGTTTATGTTGCCTCAGTTTACCCATGCCTTTGTCCCTTCTGGGAACACCCTATCCTTTACTACCAAAATAAGAATAATCTAGCCCCCATCCTGGTATTTGCAAAGGAATCCCTTCTCCCACTTGATTATTTCTGAAAATCTCACAAATATCACTGGTTACTGTTTGCCCTGTTTCCATTCAGACCATCTGTTCATCCTGAGCTACTTTCTCTAGCTTCCGAGTCTGCTCCCCTTCTCAGCTTTGCTCCACAGGAGAAGGGGTGGTTTCTCTCTAATCACCAAGCCATTGCTAATGCAAGGCTACTTTGTTGAAGGGATGGTTAAAAAGCTTGAAGTGAGCATAAGAGGATTACTCTACTGAAAAGGAAAACTTAAGTCTGCGTACCAGATGTCCCTGCTCCTAATTTCTCTTGGCCATGCCTTTGGACATCAGCCTCCTGCTGACTACCTTCTTCCTCTGGTCTCCAACCATCCACCCTTGGCTAGACTGCTCCCCTTAGTGTGAAAATTTCCCACCCTTTCTTTCACTTTTCTTTATAGTCTCTACCTCTGATTCTGGTCCTGACAAGGGATCCTCCAAATCAGCAAGTTATGTGATAATTTCTGTAGAGATGCACCTTGTTCCCCATGAAGTTAGCCTTTTACTTGATTAAATAGTGACCTTAATAAATCAGTGTGCAGCGTCTGTGCCTGGCTTGTGCTCTCATCTCAGGTCTTCCTAGCCAATGGGAAGGTGGCTATTTCTACATCTGCCGCTTTGACTGGAGTTCTTGGTATTGAACCATCCTTGCATGCTTGGGGCTGCAACCGAGCTTGGTCATAGTGTATTTTTATTTTGATACACTGTTGTAGTCTATTGATTACTATTTAGACATTTTTGCATCTACATCCAGAAGTAAAATTTAGAGGGCATTCTTGGGTGATGGCAGCTTGAATATGTAGCATCCTTTCCCTGCTGCCATCCTTAATTCCCAGCCATGTGTCTTTCAAGGGCAGCAGGCAGGGAGGTCATGGGTGAGGTGGTAGATGAGGTTCAGGCTTTCCTTGAACCTCTGAGCTTGATGAGATGTTGGGAACAGTCAGAGACCCTGGCCTGGGCAAGGACTGACCACAGAAAGCCATGGAGCACAGTGCAAGTCAGTTTCTGTCCCCCTCCTGGGGGTTCTCTCCCTCTGTTCCCACATAGCTAAGAAAAAGGTGAGATGAGTCCTCTACTTCTGGAAGGACATGGGAGCACTGGGGAGCAGAGTGGATCCCACCTGCTGCCTAACTGGGCATCTGACCTTTCACATCTTGTGGGAATGCAGCCATTACAGACTCTAGGAGGTGAAGTGGGCCCCACAGAGCAGCAGGGCACATGCATCACACAAGGGGGTGAGCAAGTTGGAGGGACAAGGAGCCTGGGCACCAGATCCCCCAAAAATGGAGTTTCTGGTGGGATGAATGGCAGGTGAACAAGAAAAGAAGACCAGTTCAGACAAGTCAAGTGTATGCACATGAAGATTTTTAAAAAAATAACAATTTTTTCGGGCGCCTGGGTGGCTCAGTTGGTTAAGCGACTGCCTTCAGCTCAGGTCATGATCCCGGAGTCCCCAGATCGAGTCCCACATCGGGCTCCCTGCTCGGCAGGGAGTCTGCTTCTCCCTCTGACCCTCCCCACTCTCATGCTCTCTCTGTCTCAAATAAATAAATAAAATCTTTAAAAAAAAACCAAAAAACAATTTTTTTAGCAGTTTTAGGTTTACAGAAAAAATGAGTGAAAAGTACAGAGGATTCCCATATATCCCCTTTACCCACCACCCCCTAATTTTCCATATTTCTAACATCTCGCTTTAATGTTGTATATTTGTTGCAATTAATGAACCAACATTGATACACTAGTGTTAATCAAAGTCCATAGTTTACTTTGGGATCACTCTTGTTGCACATTCCATGGTTTTGAAAAATCATAATGACATGCAGTCATCATTATGGTATCATACAGAAAAATAGTTTCACTGTCTTAAAATCCTCTGGGCTCTGTCTGTTCATCTCTCTTCCCCTCCCTCCACCAACCCCTGGCAACCACTGGTCTTGTTATCAGTTCCTTCGTTTTGCCTTTTCCAGAATGTCGTAGCATTGGGATCATGCAGTATGTGGTCATTTCAGATTGGATTTTTTTTCACTTTTTCACTTAGTAAGACGCATTTAAGGTGCCTCCATGACTTTTCATGGCTTGATAGCTCATTTCTTTTTAATATTTCATTGTCTGGACTTCCCACAGTTTTGTTTTTTTGTTTTTTTGGTTTTTGTTTTTTTGTTTTTTTATTTATCCATTCACCTACTGAAGGTCATCTTGGTTGCTTCCAAGTTTTGACAATTATGAATAAAGCTGCTATAACCATCCACATGCAGGTTTTTATATGGATGTAAACTTTCACCTCCCTTGGGTAAATACCAGGGAATGTGACTGCTGAATCATAAGGTAAGAGCATATTTAGTTTTATAAGAAATTGTCCAAAGTGGATGCACCATTATATTCCCACCAGGGGGTGTGTGGGCGTAGGATATGGAGCATCTTATGGAGCAGCCATAAGATGGCTTATGTGCAATCTGTGTATCTTCTTTGGTGAGGTATATGTTCAGATCTTTTGCCCACTTTTTAAATTGAGTTGTTTTCTTATTGTTGAGTTTCAAAAGTTCTTTGTATATTTTGGATGCCAGTCCTGTATCTGACATGTGTTTTGTGTTTTCCCCCCAGGCTGTGTCTTGTGTTTTCATTTTCTCAGTGTCTTTCATAGAGCAGATGTCTTTAATGTTCTTGAAGTACAACTTAACAAATTTTTCTTTCAAGGATGTCCTTTTGGTGTTGTGTCTAAGTTGTCACCAAACCCAAGATCACCTAGATTTCTGTCTGTTGTCTTTTAGGACTTTAATAGTTTTGTGTCTTATGTTGAGATCTGTGGTCCATTTTGAGTTTATTTTTGTGAAGAGTGTAAGGTCTGGATGTAGATTCTTCCTTTTTTCTTTTTTTAAGAATTTTAAAAAAGATTTTATTTATTTTTTGACAGAGAGAGGGACAGCAAGAGAGGGAACACAAGCAAGGGGAGTGGGAGAGGGAGAAGCAGGCTTCCCGCTGAGCAAGGAGCCTGATGTGGGTCTCGATCCCTGGACCCTGAGATCATGACCTGAGCTGAAGGCAGACGCTTAACGACTGAGCCACCCAGGTGCCCCCCCTTTTTAAGATTTTATTTATTTATTTGAGAGAGAGAGAGAGACAGAGAGAGTGAGCACAAGCAGGGGGAGGGGCAGAGGGAGAGGGAGAAGCAGACTCCCTGCTGAGCCGAGAGCCCAGTGTGGGACTCAATCCCAGGACCCTGAGATCATTACCTGAGCCAAAGGCAGATGCTTAGCCGACTGAGCCACCCAGGCACCCCTCTTTTTTCTTTCTTGTTTGTAGATGTCCAAGAGTTCCAGCACCATTTGTTGAAAAGTCTATTTTTTATCCCCTGAATTGGCTTTGCTCCCTTGTCACATCAGCTGACTACACTCATGTGGGTCTGTTTCTGGGGTCTCTGTTCTGTGGCTCTATTTTTCTGTTTTCTCACCAGTGCCACAGTGATTACTGTGACCTGTGGTGGGTACTGAAGTTGGGCAATGTAAGTCTTTGGACTTTGTTTTCCTCTATTTGTGTTGGCTATTCTGGGTCTTTTGCCTTTTGCTAGAGTCTCCAACATCAGTTTTTCGACATCCGTGGAATAACAGGCTGGGATCTTTATTGGGATCACACTGAATCCTTTGTCTACAGCTCTGCAGATCAAGGTGGGATGATCTCTTTTATCAGCGTTGTGTAGTTTCCTTGGATATGTCTTGTATATGTTTTATTAGATTTTTACCTAAATATTTCATTTTTTGGTGCTAATGTAAATAATACTGAGTTTTTAATGTTAAATTCCAATTGCTCATTGCTGGCGTATGAAAAAGCAATTGACATTTTATATTAACCTTGTATCCTGCAACTTTGCTACAGTCACTTATTCTAGATTTTTTGTTGGTTATGTGGGATTTTCCACATAAGCAATAATATCATGTCACTGAAAACTAAAAAAAAACCCCAAAAAACCCATGATTAAAAAAACCCAAAAAACGACTAAACAAACAACACCAAGTGTTGGCAAGGATGAGGAGCAGCAGGAACGCTCTCTCACCACTGGTGGGAATGCAGAATGGTGCAGCCCCTCTGGAAGACAGTTTGGTGATTTCTTGCAAAACTAAACATACTCTTACCATATGATCTAGCAATTGTGCTACTTAATATTTACCCAAAGGAGCTGAAAGCTTATGTCCACACAAAAACCTGCACACAGATGTTTATAGAAGCTTTACCTATAATTGGCAAAACTTGGAAGCAACCAAGATGCCCTTCAGTAGGGGATGGATAAATAAACTGTGGTCTATCCAGATGCTAGAATATTCTTTAGTGCTAAAAAT